CCCGCACATCAACAAATCTGGTGCCTGTGCCTGAACTTATTTAACATAAGTTTTGTTGCAGTTTTTAATTTTGTTTGTAATGCACTAAATATTAAAACCATTTGAATTATATACAACAAATTTTAGTGTAAAGGTAAGTTTTGCCCTTTGATTTCTTAAGCACCACAGCACTGGTGCAAGACGGAGGAGATTGGTTAACTCAGAATGGATATTTTTCTAATTTTTATGATAGATTTGCTACTTTAACTTTTTGTGTAAGTATTCGAACCTTTTGAATATGTGTCGATATCTTGAAGCATCTTATTCAGTAACAATCCATATAATTGCACATGTTCTGACATGTTACTGCATATGAAAGTAGATCAAAGTGCAGTAGGCAGTACAAATTTGTGCATTTCATGTTCATTAGAAATAAATGGCAAGGGGGTGGGAGGGGCAGCAGATAAGGAAGTATGTACTGGCCACACTGTAAACATTTTTTCCCACGTGAAGTATTTTGTAGCATGCTGTCTCGGATCCTGTTTTAGAAATGCCTTTGCTTTACATTCTATATGTGTTTGTTTTACTTGTACCCACAAGGTAGTGATGTAGGTGAAATGTGTTGCTCGCCCCTTGCCACCATATGCAATTTGTGCTTGTCTGCTGTGTCATGAAGTTCATGTTGTTTACTCATTTAGGTCTGAAACAGGCCTTGGCCACTGTTAATGACTACAATCCCCTTATGAAGGACTTCCCAATTAATGACCTGCTATCAGCTACCGAATTAGATCGCATCCGTTCAGCTGTTCAACTGATTTTCTCTCATCTTAGAAAAATACGCAGCACAAAGTACCCAATTCAAAGGGCTCTTCGACTCGTTGAAGCTATATCACGGGATCTTGGCTCCCAGTTGTTGAAGGTTAGTGAGTGTTACAATCTTTTTTGAGTTGATGTATCTGAGGCATGTTATGTTTGAAGATGTGTTAAAAGAATAAATAGGAAAATTATAAATAAAGACAAAGTTATGCCAATATGAAGACCCAGAAATTGTTAATATGTTCTAGAAGAATGTTTTAATGGTATAGTATACTTCTCTGAATGTAGAAGTTTGTTTTCTGGGTGTTTTAGGCTCTATTTTATATTTTCTGTTTCTACTTTATTGTTTTTATTCCCCCTTACATGTATGTTGCCTTCCATTTAAGAGTTTCATTTGAGACAAAGTAATGTTTTCATGGTCTGAGATGATATTTTTTGTGTTATGTGTATTGACATACTGCTTTTGGGAATGTCTTTGTGGAAGTTTTGAATATGATTTTTTTTAAATATGCTTCAATGAAATGAATTGTGTACGAATTTGACTTGCAGGTACTTGGGACAAGACGTCTAATGCACATACCGTTTGATGAATTTGAAAAGGTGATGACACAATGTTTTGAAGTCTGCACAACATGGGATGATGAATATGATAAACTACAGGGTTTGCTAAGGTGAACATTCTATACTCTAAAGTGTCTATCAAGTTTGCTGAGGTAATGTTGCAAAAATATAAAATTATAGATAATATAAAAGAAAGGCCAATTAAGTTAATGTTGATTTATTGAATATCAAATTGATAACATTTAAATCATATAAAATATTTTTATTGTGTCAATTGGCAGTTTATTTTGTTATGAGGGTCAGATTAACTGGATGTGTGGCTTGGATGGAGGAAACAAGAAATATTATAAAGTTTGGTGGAATAATCTGTTGGAAAACAAATATGGCACATAATACAGTAAAACAAAAAAGTGGATTGAATGGAAATCCACCTTTATTAAAGAATGTGTCTGGTCCCAAGAGCAATAATGTGAAAATGTAATCTAAAATAAAGTCTGATAAACAGAAAATGTTTAATGCGGAACTGGTAAGGAGAAACAATAATGTAACTGAAAATAGGATGCTTAAATATTTATTGATTTATGTTTATAAATTCTGTTCTTTATGAGCTTCCTCAGATTTATGCAAAAGAACATTCTTTCCAAGAATCAAATCCTACTAATGATGTAATGTGTGTAGAAAATAATTTAAATGACAACTGGAAGAAATAAACAGGAAAAAGAAAGAATTTTTACCTTGACAGTGAAGTGGTGTTGGACAATGAACTAGTTGAGAATGGAGTTGGTGTCCAGTCAAACATTTCAGAGATTGTCTATGAAATGTTGGATATTAACTGTTTTCACACTGCTGAATCATTAGTCCTTAAATATGTGTATTATCTACTGTATGGTATTTCTTAAGCAGAAGTAAGTACTGCTTTAAATGGACACCTGTTGGAAATGGAAAAAAATGTCAAGGTCCCATAGAATCGCATTATAAGCAGATTTTGTTGCATTAATGTGGGAGAATTAAGTATTGGTAAAGTAGATTGGATTGAATATGTGCTGAATAAGATTCAATAACAGGCCATTGTTTTAGTGATATTGAATCTGTTGGTTCTTGTACAAGGAGGTCCTTGGCTCTTTTATATGTAGGGACATTGTGAAAAAGAAGCGTGATGAGCATTTGAAGATGGTATGGCGTGTTTCTCCTGCACACAAACGTCTTCAAACTCGAATGGAACATATGCGCCGCTTCCGCCGTCAGCATGAGCAGCTGCGCACAGTAATTGTGCGTGTCCTTCGCCCTACAGTACTGTCTGTAATTTCATCTCGCCCAATAGACCAACAATCACAGCATCCAAGTACTCCTGATCAGCAAGAATCAGGAGATATGAAACCAGAAGTTCTTGGTTTGGAGGCAGCTGATGCTAATGCAATTGAGGTAAGATTTAGTTAAAATGAATGTGGCACATTTCTTGGTGTTCAGAACTTTTATCATTTATACAGTGCGTAGTCTTTGGCAGGGAGTTTAAAGCAAAGGCAGACTGATCAAAAGATTGTGGGTTTGAATTTCACCTTGACGTTAATTGAAAAACGCTACACACAGTGCAGTATTTGATTCAGTCTATTATAAACTTCAGAAACTAACACTGTGGTACACTGCCAGTAATACCATTGTTTACTGTTGGCCATGATCCTGAGCTAGTTTCATCCATCTTCCATCCTCACAGCTTATTTCCTTAAGATCCATCTTAAAGTTATATCCCCCCACCATCTTCTCTGTCTTCCGAATGAACGTATCCCAAGAGGGTTCCCCACCAAAGTTCTGTATACATTTGTTGCTTTCCCATGCTGGGCACATTCCCCAGCCTATGACTTAATGAATACTAATTTTGGAGGGAAATGTCTATGAACACAATTTACAGATTCTTTGAGGCTCAATGGTAAAGTGTAATCTTTTGTGAGCTATGTAGTGATCTTCATGACTGGAACAATTGTCTTCCATCTGTAGGGTCCCTGCATTTTTTTGCAGTACATACATAACGAAGAGGTAAAATAATGTTTACTGGAGCAAGTTTTATTTTTTAATCTTCTTTTCTGATCTTTTTTTAACCTTACCTATTTTATCAGTGATATAATTTATTTTTATGTGAGAAACATAATTACCAAGTAAACCATTCATCGAGTTGCATCCCTTTTCTTAACAGGAAGTTAACCTTGCATATGAAAATGTTAAGGAAGTGGACTGTCTGGACATTACTCGTGAGGGTCTGGAGGCATGGGATGCGGCAGTTCGACGTTATGAGGAACGAATTGATCGAGTGGAGACACGCATCACAGCACACCTGCGTGACCAGCTTGGAACAGCCAAGAATGCGAACGAAATGTTTCGTATATTTTCAAGGTTCAATGCTTTATTTGTTAGACCTCATATCCGTGGTGCCATCCGTGAATACCAGACTCAGCTCATTCAAAGAGTAAAAGACGATATTGAAGCTTTGCATGAAAAATTCAAGGTTGGTATTTTGATGACAGTATCTGTCTTGTTTCAATAACTTTGTGATCTGTGGTTTTACATACTTGTCCTTTACCCGCCAGGTTCAGTATCCCCAGAGCAAGTCATACAAAATGAGTATTGTGAGAGATTTACCTCCAGTCTCAGGTTCCATTGTGTGGGCTAAGCAAATTGATCGGCAGCTCACAGCATATTTACGAAGAGTGGAAGATGTATTAGGTAAACATTTTTCGTTTTGTATTTTTATCTTATGTAGTGAAAACTGTTCTTGGAAGATAGAAGAAAGGTATCAGTGTGGAGCAAATGATGATGAAGGAAGAGAGAGGGGAAAGATGTAATAGTGTGGGGCAAGTAATGGTTAAGGAAGCCAGAAAAATATTCATGTTGTGGGTGATGAAGATGCAGGGTTTTTAAAATAAACGATAGTTGAGGAAGGCAGAGTACCTTCTAATTTTAGTTGTTCCATTTTGGCATTGTCCCAGATGAAATATCTCTTAATTTTTATTCTTATTGTTTATGAAGGTAGCTAAAAATAAGTTGTCCTACCTTTGAAATTTTACTTTTGTCGGTTATATATTGTTTGTATTAATAAATGTTGAAATTCAGATCCTCTAATTTTTTCTCCATCTTCACATGGGTCACAAAATTAATTTACATTTTTATACATGTACAGTAGACAAATCGAAAGAAAGGCACATAGAATGTTTAGAAATATGCTCATTTATAAAATTAAACTAGCGACAGTTAAAGATAAATCACAATCATGTGCACACACATGCACATTTTTTGTGTCTGATTACTATAAATTTTGGTAAATTGTATGTTTTTTTGATACATCTTCATGTTAAACTTTGAATATGCAGTGTCAGTGGTGGAATTTAATCTTTGTAACTAAAGAAAGAACTCCCCACTAACCCATCTGTTTTAGTTTTACACTTGGGTATTTTTAATTTCTCTTAGGAAAAGGCTGGGAGAACCACATTGAGGGACAGAAGCTAAAGGCAGATGGAGATAGTTTTCGACTGAAACTAAACACTCAAGAAATATTTGATGATTGGGCTCGTAAAGTTCAGCAGCGCAATCTTGGCGTGACTGGACGTATTTTTGCCATTGAAAGTCAGCGTTCACGAACTGGGCGTGGTAATGTCCTGAAGTTGAAAGTGAACTTCCTTCCAGAAATAATCACTCTTTCAAAGGAGGTTGGTATCCTTGAATTTACGTGTTCTGATTAAATTACATGATTTTAATGTAGCATCAGTGGGCGGTCTCTGGTATTTTCCGGTAAGAAGATGGAGATGAGTGGGGTTGTACTCCAAAAAATATTTAATGATGGAAGTTTTGAGTTATGTGTAAATTGTATAAATAGAATTTTGAGTTTTCAAAATTGGACATGGACAGTGAAAAATCTGGTATGCAGCATGTTTTTTCCTCACACAATGATTTGTTTTCCAGACGATTGCACAGATCATAGTATAAAGCACATGACTCATTGTAATTGCCTGTTTTGTTTGCAGGTGCGAAACCTGAAGAATCTTGGTTTCCGTGTACCACTTGCAATAGTGAACAAAGCACATCAGGCAAACCAACTGTACCCATTTGCCATCTCTCTGATAGAAAGTGTTAGGACTTATGAAAGAACTCTTGAAAAGGTAATTTTCAGTTTCTTACATGATAGATTTTTTGTTTAGGTGCGCTAGATTTGAATAGTTGTATTACATTGTTTTTTATATATGGTTGAAAACACTTTGTTAATAAAATCATGTGTGTTGATGACATTTTGTACTTAAGCCCTACTTAGGTATTGAATTTGCAGACAACAAACATTGTTTTAAATGAAATTGGAAAGAGCGTCTAGTGATGTGTATTGTCTACATAAATTGTATATTTTATACATCTATAGGTTTCACTGTTTAGTTTCAGTTGTAAAATAATGGATGTGATCTTTGTGATTCTGGTTCTCATAGAATGTTATAAATGTTTTACATCACTTGTGTGTTGATCTATGCACTCAGTGCATAAAGTTAACGCATAATTGGCAAGGAGTTGTTTAGAAGAGAACATCGCATCTAAAAAACGTGTAGATGGAAAAATAATTATTATATTTATAGGACTTGTTACTGTTGCCAACCCAGGTCAAACAGATCATAATTAGTTACAACAGCTCAAAATAATTTTTATCTGTTATTCATAATGTGGTTCATGTACTACTTAGCTTGTATTTAGTCCATAAGCCTTTCTCTTCCCACCATAGTTAATAACAGTTAGTTAAAGATTACTGATTGTTTGCAGTGTTGTTATAGCCTACGCAGTGTGGTTAATATTAATCAATTAAATGCAGTATATCAATAATCCTGTGAATGTTTTCTCCAGTTTGTGATTGTCTTGGGGATAAATTAATGTGTTTCTATGTTCTTTTTGGTTTCCCTGCAACAACTAGCTAACAAACCGGAGTTCCCCAAATAGTCCATCATTCAAGGTAGAAACTGCAAGTGGATTGTGGACTGCCATTGTGTTTGAAATTTATGTATACTAACCCTCTCTGCTTACAAGTATACACACAGGGAATTCATGTATAAGCAAGCTTCAGGTTACCCTTGTGTTGTGGTTTTTTAGGTTATTATTCTGTGTATTCTTATAAGTGGTTGTCAGCCTTTTGGAGGAAACTGTTCCCTCCATCATCAGGAAATGTTGGTAGCCATTTACAAGATTACACTATGCCATGACCCAGAAGACCATTGATCCAAATTTCCACCACATGAAATCCTTGAATCTCATTCAAAATGCCTTCTTGCAAAAACCTTGGAATTCATGACTATCTATAATTTTTGTTTTCTTTAATCCGTGATATGTTATCATTCTTTTACTCTGTGGTTAGAAACTAACAAAATCCAGTATTGATCAGGTTGGTGGAATGAAAATTATTTAATCAGTTACATGTCATTCATGTACTTTGCTTAAAGCAAGGTATTATTAAACAATTAGCTTAGAAGTGAGTGATTGACTGTGTATGTATTTGGCTTTGTAGTGGGCGTGTGGTTTTATAATTTGGTCTCTTAGTATGGATCAGAATTACCACTTTCCATTTTCTAAAAATTAATGACATTTTATTTTGTAATGGTACAGAAGTTAACATGGATTACATGAGTTACAGTCTAATATTGTCATATTGAAATGCTGCTTTGTGATTCATTAAGATTGCTTTGTCAACTATAGGATATGTAGTATCAAGTTGGAAAGGTTAGGTTGATGGAATGCAAAGGATATAGAAGTAAGTGGTACTCTCGTGTTGTGCCTGGAGAGACTTGGGAAAGCACATGCAAACGTGTTTATTTGCTTTGTAAGTATGTTCTAATTATATTAAAATTGAGGACTTTATAGTTTCTCACTCTAAACATCTGCAGTTTAAAGCTAACATGTGATAAAATAATTTGTTAGAAATTTATTTTTGGTAGGTGATGGAAATAAATATGCATACCAAATGACACTATTTAAGAAGAAATTATGTAATTGTTTGTAATCTAAACACTTTCTTGAGGCATGTCTGCCATAGTCTTCTATTGTGTACGCGTGGTACAACCTGGACTTACATATAAATATAACATTCATCTCATGTCTTGCATTCTGCATATTATGATTTGTTCTTTAGTCAGTAAATGATAGTGAATGCCGAATATGTATTCCACCAGCCTCTGTCATGTGGGTTGAATGCTGTTTCTCCAAGGTTTTCTCATTTGTTATTACATTTTTACCTGCCCATATCTGTTTGTATAAAATATTGCCTGTGTTGTAGCTGTAAGTTTTTCGAAATAGAATGGCGTTCATGAGTGTAGCCAAGAAAGTTATGATATCTTCTTTCAATATTATAAATGTTAGTCATGGCAGAAGCAGTTGTAATATGTACCCCCAGCTATGACTAGAACAAATTGTTGATTGTTAGTAAATTTATTTATGATCATACTCTTGTTTTAAAAAGTAGTGTTATTTGTGCGTAACTTGTCACATTCTGTACGAGATTGTCACCGTTGTATTCTGTGTAATTATTGACTACACTCCTTTCATTTGGCTGATTTAATTGCTTTTCTGCCTATTATATAAGGGCTGATACATTTATTTTGTTGTTGTTTTAATGCAACACTGCATAAATTGAAAGTCATGTTAGTTACAGGTTTGAATTATCACTAGATTAATGTAGAGCTTTTCCCTCCCCCCTCCAAACTGTACTACTTAACAGGCATTGAAATGTAACAATAACAGCAGTTTCCTTGTAGAATTTAACTATAATTTTGTTCATAATGTAAACTAGTGTTTACATGACAGTATTACAGTAGTGTATGTTAACCAGGGAAACTGAGGTAAAGCATTGATTTTAGTAAATTATTGAGAATGTTGTAAGTAGGGAGTTAGATTTATAATTAGGTGTTCTTTTTTCCCCAGTATCAGCCCTTTGAATAAAATTTGCTTGTTACTGGTACATTATAATGCATGCACATATGGAAGCAGAGTGGCTGCTGCTTATGGTTATTGTATTTGATGGCTACTAGTAAGTGTAATGGAGATGGTATGGAAAATATCTTACTTTTTAACTACTTTGTACCGAAAAGTTGGTCAATGTTTATGTTATATTTGATTGAAGATTTCTGGGTTGTTGCGCTGTGTAGTCTGGTCGATGTAACCAAGGTCATACTGCCTCCGTCATCAGGGCGATGACGGAGGCAGTATGACCTCTGAAACATTGGTTGACATCGACCAGACTACACAGCGCAACAACCCAGAAGACAGAAATCTTCATACTCACCGCTGTGAAAACCTCAAATATTACTTGTATATGATTGATGTGTGGTGGCTTGGTATGGGATTGTGGATACGAAATGTGGTCATATACTATTTATTGTGAGTACTTGTTAATCTGAAAATGAAAGTTATGTCATGATTGTTCTGTACTGTCATTAATGACATCTGAAGTTGGTAATATACCAGTATTGGTTCATGTCGTGTGTCATCTCCATTTATGAGTAGTGTGTCCATATTAGTGGAACACTTTGCTGTGAAAGACAGAATATAGTTAGTTGTAACTCTGCTCTGTATGTAGTAATATTTTCTTGCTGTTCCTGTTTGCACATATATGTACAGCTTTCTCCCTTTCATGTTTTAATTTTATTCTTATTTTATTTATCTACTCTTATCCAGCTTCAATAGGTGAAGAAGGCATGTAGGTTTGGTGTGCATGGAGTCATATTATGAGAAATGAACTTTTACTTGTTCTGTAAAAGAAAACTGTTGAAAATTGACACATTCTGTGCACAAGATATATGTATGACAAGTAAATGTTCATGATTTATTATGTGAAAGAGCACTGTTATTTGTTGATTTGGTATTTTATTTTACAGATTGAAGATAAGGCCAGTATCATTCCTCTAGTTGCTGGAATGCGCAGGGAGGTTCAGATGCTAGTTGCTGAGGTAAGCAGTTAATTTCAGTTTTGAAATGGCTACCTTTAATGTACTTCATTTTTATTGGCACATAAGGAAGTGGTGCCTTTCATATAAGTAAAGATTTAATTGAGAAAACATTCCTGAAGATGACTGTCTTATGGGTTGTTGTGCCATATAGTCAGGTAAAAGTTTACTGACATTTCAGAGGTGCTTGATACCCCCATCATTGGGGAAATTAATGAATAATGAATTTGAAAGGATGTGTAAGGAAGCAGTTACGGCCTAATTTAAAGTACTGTCCTAGCATTTGCTTTAAGGGAGTGAAGAAAACCACAAAAAATCTGTCATAAGAGCTGGTCTCTGGCAGAGAATTAAACATGGGTCATCCTGAATATGAAGCAGAATTGCTAACCACTGGGCCATAACAATTAGTCAAATGTGGTTGGAGGGGTCATGTAATACTTCCTAATACAAACCAGTCATTACTTAAGGAGATTTATGCGATAAAGTGTGTGGACATCAGGACAGTAGGACTGGTGGCCATTAACATGGAGGAAACAAATCCCTTGGTTTTACACTTATACATCATTGGAATGCAAGCTGCAAGTTGAGGCAAATATAATTTCAGTTTGCATTAGTTTAGTATGATCTCTAGTTTAAAGAATTTCTCAAAAATTGCTGCTCATAAAAATAAATGACGTATATCACAGAATATAGGTTTTATTAAAGCGTATAGTGTTAATGTGAAGCAGTTTTTAATAATGTAGTGAATTTTTACTTACAGGGCATTGCTCTGGTGTGGGAGAGCTACAAATTGGATCCGTATGTTCAGCGATTGGCAGAAGTAGTCTTCAGCTTCCAGGAGAAGGTTGAGGATCTGTTGGTTGTGGAGGAACAGCTGGATGTAGACGTCCGTTCATTGGAGACATGCCCATACTCAGCCAATACCTTTGCGGACATTCTTGGAAAAATTCAGCATGCAGTTGATGATTTGAGTCTTCGACAGTATTCAAACCTTCACATTTGGGTTACGCGTCTTGATGAGGAGGTAAGTGTTCCTTAAAAGTCTGAAATACTGTTTAATCACATGTGTATATTGTATTTGTAAAACTGGAATATGATTTTCATTCTCATTTTGTTTACTTTAAAATATCATTTGTGAAGTAAAAGTAATTAAATAGTCAGTTTTATTTTGTAATATGCCTAACTTTCATCATGTGGTTTATGTGTCATGCTTTTTAAAGCATAATTATACCATTTGGTTTTTTGAGATATCATATTAGCTCTGAAAGCTTTGAAACATACTCTCTTTAGGCTGCAGTGTGGCCCTTGAAGTATATTTTGATTGATAGTTGGAATTACAAAATTTTGAGAGTGTGTGCATGTGTGTGCATATATATTTATTTATGAGATATGTTGTTTTTGGTAGGTTGAGAGAAAGTTGGCTGCCCGTCTTCAGTCTGGTATGCAGGCATGGACAAATGCTCTGAATGGCACCAAGAAAGAAATTGACCTGAGCATGGATACAGATGCTCCTGCCCAGCCTACTCATAAGCCTGGTGGTGACCCACAAGTAAGAAACCTAAGTCCCAAGTGTGTGTGGGAGAAAATTAAAGCATTTGTAGTTAGATTTGCTGATGTTAATTTTATTTCTTTATAAATTTCTGTTGTGTCCTAAAATTTCCTGGAAAGTGTGCTTCTTATGCACTATACGCCCTGAATGATAAATTGAAGCCCAAATGTGTTGTTACAAAACTGATAAATTAGCTGTGTAACTTGTTATAAACAGTAAGAAATGACAGCACAGCTGTGTATTTACAAAGTTCAGTGTTGAAGGCCTTTAGAGGTCAGTGTACTGACAAAGAAAAATGGAATGTCACTGAGTTATTTGTATTAAACTGCAAATCTTGCACAGAAAAATTGTTTTGCTGGAATTTAATGTTTGTTTCAATATGTGTTTCTAGATCCAGATAGTGGTTCATGAGGTACGGATCACAAATCAGATAATGTACCTTTTCCCCAGCATTGAAGAAGCCAGATTCCAAATCATGCAACAGTTGTTTGCTTGGCAAGCTATTGTAACATCTCAGACTCGTCTTCAGAGCTCTCGTTATCAAGTGGGGCTGGATCGTCCAACATCACAGACGTATCGCAATCTTCTCACCAAGTTGCCTCAGGGCAGTGTAATTTTAGAGGCAGCATATGAAGCTATTGAAAACAAGATTAAACAGGTAATTTTCATGTTTTACATGTTTGCATTGATATCTGTTTGTTGCAGATTTGATGCTCAATTAAAATCTGAGTAAACATGAGACTACGTGTTGATGGTGGGTTTCATCTCTGTAAGAATTAATGTAGAATGGAATGAGTGTTGTTTTCATTTTTTCAGGTTCATACCTATGTGGGTGAGTGGTTACAGTACCAATCGCTTTGGGATCTGCAGCCAGAAAATCTGTATGGAAAGCTTGGTGAGGATATTAACCTCTGGATGAAGTGTCTTAATGACATCAAGTAAGTAATACACTTATTTTAAAATAAAAATTATTACACTTCCAACTTACAGACTGATTCAGACCATCATCTGTTTGATTCATAAGTTTCTTATGATTGCTAGAACCTAGGTACTGAGATTTAGCCAGTTTTTTTATAGTTACAATAAATTAAATCAAATTTCGTCCATGCACAAGGTCTGTACAGTCAGTATCTATCACACATTCTAGATTGATGAAAATTGCATGTACATGTTCAGTACTTCAGCACTAAAGATGGGTGCAGCATGTTCCCTTGATACATTGATATGCAAATGAAAACTACATGGTTCAAGAACTCAAATGGCTGCTATATTATCACAGTCTTGTGAACATGTTTACATTTTCACTTTAATTTCTGTTTAAATCTGTGCACATGTTTTGAACTTTACAAAAGGAAAATTACTTTCATCACAGGCTTGTTATTGGTAATACTTGAACATTAATTTCGCATAGAGTTTTATACGGGCTATTCATGTTTGTTTTAAGGCCACCTACCCTTTGGATCCAGCCAATATTCAGAGTGAGACCTTTGGCATGGATATCGAGCATTTTTCTTCTAGACCATCATGTCTCTTCAGAAGCATTGATATTATGTAACTTAATAATTAGCATGAAATGTTTATTCTGTAATAAAAGTACATAGTCTAATGTAAGTTTAACATTACAGGAAATCTCGTACAACATTTGATACGTCAGACACTCGTCGTGAATTTGGTCCAGTTGTGATCGATTATGCAAAAGTCCAAAGTAAAGTGTCTTTGAAGTATGATTCCTGGCATAAGGAGACTCTTGGAAAGTTTGGCTCTCTGCTTGGAAATGACATGTCTCAGTTCCACACTCAGGTTTCAAAGGTAGGGTGGTTATTGGTTGTAGACTAAACATGTTTAGGCATGTGGCTTTACTTAGCAAGAAATGGAATTCAGTCATGTGTGAGAATAAGTCAGTTGTAGATCAGTTGGAAGATAAGATAAAGATGTTTAACAGCAAGAATATTTCTAATAAAAAATTCTGAGCCATAGGCTTGATGGGTAAATTTATTTAAATTCATGCGATAATTAAAATAATCTGTAAGACGGTTAAAATATATTGATACTGAGAAATATTTTCATCACAGTCTCGGAGTGAATTGGAGCAGCAGTCAATTGAAGCAGCTAGCACGTCAGATGCAGTTACTTTCATAACATATGTTCAGTCACTCAAGAGAAAAATGAAGTCGTGGGAAAAACAGGTGAGTGTGCCAAATGGTAATTGAATGCGTGTTATGTGTCTGTGTATTTAATTTGAAGTAAATTAATTTTATATGATGGGGCTGTGCCGGTACTCATGCTGGCCACTCATCCATTTCTCAGTACGGATGCTTGGTTTACACCCAGGTCAGTCCATGTAGGAGTTTTGGTTGACAAATGACACGGGGACAGGTTTATCTCTGAATCCATCAGTTTTCCTGTCAATTTTGTTTTACCTATGTTTCATATTCACCCACACATCTTCTGGGAAGTGGACGGTGGGCTTATTAATGGCTGCAGTTCCAAAGATATAATCTTACCCCATCATAACAAATGTTTTGATGTTAGAATGTACATGTGCCCTATTCACAGCAAAGGTTACTTGTTGCAGAATTTGTCATGCTGTCTTCTTACATGATGTTACTTGCATTAGTGTGGATATCAGGTCCAGCCACTGTACCAGATTTGTACAAAAGAGGTGTAATTTTGTTACAGAATTATTTGCTTTTGTAATGGAAGTATTTGAGAGCACTTTTTTAATAACTTCCCTGGTGATGAAATGCAGGTGTCAACTTGAAAATGAAAATTTCTTGAATCATTCACAAGCAGTATGTTCCTGCAGTAAAAATGGATTTGTTTTAAGTGCAGAATATTTTAAGTTTTCTTGCATGCAGTCTGGTAATGAAGACACTTATTTACACTGTGGTGCAATGATTTAAGGTGGAGGTGTACAGAGAAGGTCAGCGCATACTGGAAAGACAGAGGTTCCAGTTCCCAAACAGTTGGCTTCATGTTGATAATATTGAGGGTGAATGGGGAGCTTTCAATGAGATTATTAAGCGCAAGGATTCATCTATTCAGACTCAGGTATGGAGACATAAAATATAAGTAACAAACAATCTTAATTTTAAAATGATAGAAGAAAATTCTGAAGTGTTTCCTTCATTTGTTGAAATGGTTATACTGCAAAATATCTCTGAACATTTTCGTAATTTGTGTGTTTTATCCATTTATGTCAAATTACTTGATTTTCTGTTATATAGGTTGCAAGCTTGCAGATGAAAATTGTGGCTGAGGATAAAGCAGTGGAAACACGTACAAATGATTTCCTCAATGACTGGGAAAGGAGCAAGCCTGTTGAGGGCCATCTACGACCGGATGAGGCTTTACAACACCTGCAAATGTATGAGAGCAAGTTTGCTCGGCTGAAGGAGGAGCGAGATAATGTAGCAAAAGCTAAGGAGGCCCTGGAACTACAGGAACCTGGTAAAATTTATGTACACATTTACATGGCTGCAACTTTCTGTTACAAGTTATACAGTATGTAATAAACAACAGAGAATTATTCTCACCAAACTGCTGTGAATACAGTGCCTTCTCATTTATTTGTTCTTAGATTTTAAATATGTTTTTCTCTGTCTTTCTGAATTTGATGTACATTTTTTCATGAGTATTATCATTCATATGTGAGAATTGAGTATATGAATAATATCAAGAAATGGGAGTATATGAATTATGCGATGAAATGTCATAAGTGCATATCACGTATTCAGTTTGCATACTACAGAGTGTATTTATTGATGTTGGAATTATCTTTTCTGAATGTTATAGGTGGTGTAAGCACTAGTGAAGACAGGATGCAGGTTGTTTTTGAGGAATTGCAGGATCTGCGAGGCGTGTGGTCTGAATTGTCTCGTATCTGGGCGCAAATTGATGAGATACGTGAGAAACCGTGGTTGTCTGTCCAACCTCGGAAGCTGCGTCAACAGCTGGATACACTCATGGCCCAGTTAAAAGAACTGCCAGCAAGATTACGTCAGTATTCATCTTATGAATATGTTAAGAAACTTCTCCAAGGATACACCAAGGTAAGAAAGGCACAAAAAATAGCTGTTGAAATTGCATTTAATGGAAGTTATGAATTTAGGATTGTGCTTTGAAAAGATGTGTAGAGTGCCTGTGACAGGTCATGGCATGCATTCAGAAACAGTATTCAATTTTCTTGGGTGGAGTCATGCAGATGGACTTTGTTGAATGATTCAGTGAGAGGTGAAGTAGGTCAGTTTGCTGCTTGACTTTGTGTAGAGCAAATCATCTGGTAATACTACATTGATTGTATTTTTTTTCCCTACTGCCTGCACACTGAGAGGTAATCTTACCACACTACTGCTTCTCCTTGCCCTCTCTCTTGTGCTGACATGACTCATGGCAAGGAGTCTAAAAGGGGTGTGATACCAAACCATTGCTTTTTTAGTGGATCTTAAATCATTGCATTGTGCTTTAGGTCTATTTCAGAATGGAGTGAGAAATTTCATTCTCTTCAATTTTGCCATTCTTGTGCTATCATGCACGTCCTGAAATGTTTTGTTCCACATATGAAAAACATCTTCACACTGTATTATATAACAGTTTAACATTTGGTCTGTAATATAGAATTTGTTTGTGTTAGGTGAATATGATGATTGTGGAGCTTAAATCTGATGCTCTCAAAGAACGACATTGGAAGTTACTGATGAAACAGCTGCGTGTGAACTGGGTGTTGTCAGATCTGACCCTGGGACAAGTGTGGGATGTAAACCTGCAAAAGAATGAAGCTGTAGTCAAAGATATCATTCTTGTTGCACAGGGAGAAATGGCCTTGGAAGAATTCTTGAAGCAGGTATACATGACATTTTTGTTAAGTCTTGTGAAAGCCAATATATTTATGGAAAGACAAAGATCTGGAGTACAGGTCGCCTAGGTACTCCAAGGGCTGAGGTTGGTTACGGCAACGAGGCAACTCAACGCAGGCCAACCATGGACATGCACAGCCAACAAGCCCAAGACTCACAAGAAAATCAATCAAGAAAAACAAGAGTGGCTTGGACAAGAGAAGAAATGAAGGAAGTAGTGTGGTGTCACATGTATTGTAAAACATTTTATAATACATGTGGCACTTGCTGAAAACAATATGGATCCCGGAAATAGCTGCTGCCCTATGTACCTTAGGGACAAGGTCTGTCTCGGGTACATGGGAGTACATACCCCATAAAGTGGTGAATACGTGGGATATATTAATAATAGACTGACCTGATTATTTCACACTTACGTATATGTATTTGAAACTTTTATTATACCAATATAATGTTTCCTGGTGAATTTGGTGCTTCTTTCTGCGCTGGATCAATTTCATTTTAAAATTAAAAGGCTTCCAAAACAACAATATAAGTATGTTTTATACATATCTCCGTGAACATTTAATCTCATTTAAGATATAAAATGCATTTTAACACTTTTCTTAGGTACGAGAGTCATGGCAGAACTATGAGCTGGATTTGATCAACTATCAAAATAAGTGTCGGTTAATCCGAGGTTGGGATGATCTTTTCAACAAAGTGAAGGAACACATCAATTCTGTGGCAGCTATGAAATTGTCTCCATACTATAAGGTATGTATCAGCATATGGATGGATGTTTCTGCAGCCTTGCTCTTTGAAAGAAACTGTATGAACAAGTCGGACTATAATTAAAATTGAGTATGACTTCGATTTTGTATTAATAGTAGTAGTGACAGTAAGGACACTTTGGAAGTTTGCAGAAGCTTTTTAGGCAGTTTGGTGCTAAGTTTCTGGAGTTTTCCAGTAAACCTGTATCTTCTCATGAAAATTTGTAGTTGGTAAAATTTGTGAATGTTGGTTTGTGCTAATCAATAGTTACACATTTAAATGTTATTTCTACTTCTAAACCAATCACATAAATATATTTTGTTGTTTCTTATTAAATAGCTTAAATGAATGTGCCGTGGCACAGTGTCAAGTTTGTGTTTGTGAATGAGTAGGTATACTGAAAACTAGCTTGACAGCTCATAATCTCTACTGATGAACAGCTGGTTGCAGTAGGTGAAGAGCCACAACGTTTTACATTAAACATGTCATGTCAGAGTTTCTTGAATTTTTCTTTCTGTAGTGTCATTCTATCACGTTTTCCGAAAAGTTATAAAACCAGTAATAATTTGCATGTATGTTTATATACTCCCATACTAAATAGTTTTAAATATTTATGTTTTTGCAGGTGTTTGAAGAGGAAGCTCTCACTTGGGAAGAGAAATTGAATCGCATCAATGCATTGTTTGATGTGTGGATTGATGTACAAAGACGTTGGGTGTACCTTGAAGGAATATTCTCTGGTAGTGCTGACATCAAAGTTTTGCTACCAGTGGAGACTTCTCGCTTCCAGAGCATCAGGTAAATAAAGAAGTTTGCCTTCATGAGTCAGGTTTGATGTATGTGCTCAACTAACTAAATAACTGGCAGTATAACCAAACTGTTAAAAGCCACTAAATCCAGAGCCTTCAGAAGAGGAAGATCAACAATATGGTAATTTATTTAGGAACTGGAAAATGAAAAATCAGTAGTTTTCTGGCAAATTTTGGTGGACATATGTCCTCCAGAACCTTCTTGTTTCTTAAGGGATCGGATATTAAAAAGACTATTCTTCCTAAGGAAAAACTTCTTAAAAAGGCAAACCTACATACTTCAACAGATGGTAATTTAAAATGTGAAGTAATTGTAAGCAAATTTCTGTAATTGTTGTTGGTGTTTTTTAAATTGCAGTTCGGAATTCCTGGGTCTTATGAAGAAAGTAACAAAATCCCCTATGGTAATGGATGTCCTGAACATCCCAGGGGTTCAACGTTCACTTGAAAGATTGGCTGACTTGTTGGGAAAAATTCAGAAAGCATTGGGAGAATACCTTGAGCGTGAGAGAACTTCATTCCCAAGGTAATTACAGTTGTTTTATAGTTCAGAACTTTCACATTATCTTTATAGTGATGAGACCATGTATCCAGTGATTGTTGTCAGTGTTGTGGTGAACTTCACACATTTGTGATGTTTCAGAACAAATCAAGAAAACTTCCCTTCATTTAGATTTCAATTTTTGTGGTCTTATTTTATTTCCCTTTCACATTTTCTACAGTCAGTGTTTTCTTCAGTTCGACGCTGATATCGACTATTCCCTTAGAGAATGTAGGATTTTATAATGTGGTATCTGTTGGACATTCTGGGTGGTATCACAAAAGAAAAAGTCTTAGATGCAGAAAGTGTTATACTTTTGTGTAACTTGTGGGACATTATGAAAATACAGTATTGTTTGTGAGTGATAATTTGACCATTTATCATTCCAGGTTTTACTTTGTGGGTGATGAGGACTTGCTGGAGATAATTGGTAACAGCAAGAATGTCGCTCGTTTGCAGAAGCACTTCAAAAAGATGTTTGCTGGTGTGGCAGCAATTCTTCTCAATGAAGACAACACTGTGATCACAGGCATTGCCTCAAGAGAAGGAGAAGAGGTTAAAGACATTGAAATGAATTGAATTGGCTTTAATGTCTTTGCTTACTAATGCAACTATTATTTTATTTTATTAATAGCATGACACTTTGTTTTTCTGGATGGAGTACAGTGGATTGATGGTTTTGTGCATTTGTTTTCACATATAGGTTCAGTTCAGTGAGCCTGTTTCAACTGTTGACCATCCAAAGATTAATGAGTGGCTGAGTCTGGTTGAAGGACAGATGAGGTTTACTCTAGCCTCATCTCTTGCCCAAGCTGTTCAGGATATCAAGCAGTTCAAAGATGGAGCTATCGATAGACAGGCCTATATGCACTGGTGTGACAAATACCAGGTATGCCCCACAGATTGGTTTCTGAGTTCCTGAATTTGTTCTGAACATAGCTGTAATATTTATGTTATTATTGCAGGCTCAGATTGTGGTGCTGGCAGCCCAGATTTTGTGGAGTGAAGATGTTGAAGCAGCTTTGCATCAGATCAGTACAGCTGGTGACCAGAAGATGCCACCACTGGAACGAGTACTTTCTCAAGTGGAAACAACACTGAATGTTCTTGCAGATTCAGTTCTACAAGAACAGCCCCCTCTGCGTAGGAAGAAACTTGAGCACTTGGTAAATCGTGTTCATTTTGGCAATTATGAAAATCTATTATGTAGACTAAAAATTATGGGTTTATGCGGTCTTCAGGTAATAAGTAATCATAATAACAGTATTTTTTAAAGTTGTTTAATAGCAGGAAACCATCAGTCAGCTGTCGTGCTGTCATACACAATATCAATGTTATGTATCACTTCCTATTTGGTGAAATTCAGAAATTATACTGGCACTATTAAATTCAAGTGGATATTTGAAAAACTTATTATGAGTAAAGGTGCATTCATTCCTACTTGGTTAACTCTAAGTAATGTAGTTATTTTTTAATGTTATCAATTTTTTTATTACATTTTTGAAATTTCAGATCAATGAATTTGTTCATAAGCGTACGGTGACAAGGCGGCTTGTCGCTAACAGGATATCAAGTCCTAAAGCATTTGAATGGCTGTGTGAGATGAGATTCTATTTTGACCCTCGACAAACAGAAGTCTTGCAGCAGCTCACAATCCACATGGCAAATGCAAAATTCTTCTATGGTTTTGAATATCTGGGAGTTCAGGATCGCTTGGTACAAACACCCCTCACAGATCGCTGTTACTTGACAATGACGCAAGCTTTGGAGGCTCGATTAGGAGGTTCACCTTTTGGTGAGTCTTATATAATTACATCTCTCTTTTATACTGTTTCAGTTCACTTTCTTTGTTGATGTAACAGCCACAATACTTGGCCTTCTGCAGTATGAAATAATGTCATTTTGAATGGAAGCAGCCACCATCCAGAATTAATGATTTTAGTTATCTTATTTTTAATTTATTATATGGTAATAGGTAATTTAAAACCCATGTGATGGGGCTGTCAGCCAAAGTTTAACTTTGTGGGTGGTATGCTAATGTGATGCTTGGACAAACCGATTGTGCATAAGTTGTGATGCACAAACAATAAAGTCTAATTTATGTCTTAATGGTTTATCAGCAGACTAGCATCGATCCCATCACAGTATGAAGAGATTTTATGCAAGATAAATGATAGTAATATTTGGGGTTCTCTTGGCTGTGAAAGTTTAGGTTATGGTCTTCTTCTCATTTGTTAAGCTTGAAAATGGAGGCAGCGGAACCCTTTGAAACATTGTTAATCACTGACGTGACTATAAAGTGTAACTAAAAAATTATGTTTTGAAAATAGAACATAGTACACAGAAATATTAAAGTCATTATTGGTTGGTTTGACCAAATTTACTTTTCCATTTTGTTCTGTTTGTATGTGAGGACTTGAAGGTTAATTTAATAATTTCTTCTCTGTTCCTCTTCATTCTGTACAAAAATTAGCAATTAGTATAGGTAAGTAAAGCTGTGAAAGTGTATTTAGATGTTAACGCTACTGAGATAGATGTTTAGAAACTCGTGTGTTCACTTAGGTCCTGCTGGAACTGGGAAAACTGAGTCTGTCAAAGCCCTGGGTCATCAGTTGGGTCGCTTTGTTCTGGTGTTCAACTGTGATGAAACATTTGACTTCCAAGCTATGGGTCGAATCTTTGTTGGTCTGTGCCAAGTTGGAGCTTGGGGATGCTTTGATGAGTTCAACAGATTGGAGGAAAGAATGTTGTCAGCTGTCTCACAGCAGGTTCAGACAATTCAGGAGGCTCTGAAGTCGCAACAAGACGGAAAGAAAGAAGGCAGTAAGTGTACTAATATTCAAGTAATTATTGAATATCAGTATCTGTTACATATCTGTCCTGTAATCAGAATTCTTCCTTTATATTTATTAGGTCTT